GTTTGTTTTTAAGACGAGTTGGGTGGGACTAGAACAGTGGTTAGTCTAGGGACTGAGGCAAAGCCCTTCTGCATAGACTACTCAATGTTCTGTGAACAGTTTTTTTCATCTGGCTGGTGGAATGGGTACTATTTCCAGCTCTTTGTGAATGCTGGGCACTGACAGCACTGATCCTTTTCCTCATAGTTTCCCTGGCTTTGCACAGTTTCCTCACATGCATATGCTGATTACTTCTCAGTATACTACTCAAGAGGACACCCTGCATACTCTGGGGTTTTCTTTCTGTGCAGTCCTCTCCTCTCTAGGTTCTGTCCTTCAAATTCCAGCCACTTCGGTCATCCAGACTCTCACTCCACATCCTCACATCAGGAAGCCCGCTGTGCTCCACTTTGTTACCCCTCCCTGTGCCACAGTCTGGAACCTCCCTCCAGGCAGTAAGCTGGGGCTCACCTCATCATTTCCTATTCTCATGGATCACTGTCCTTGGTTTTCTAATGTTTGGCATCTTGCAAACTGTTATTCTTGTAAATTGCTTCTGGTGGGATGATAAATCCTGTCCTCATTACTTTAGGTTGGTCATAAGCAGAAGCCTGGCTTTATTCTTTAGATACAAAAATCCAATTGTATCTATTATTTAAAACCCTCTGATGTGTCCCTTAGGATAATAAGTCAAAATTGCACAACACGGTCTAAAGGAACCTCCATGATCTTTCCCTATTTCCCTTTCAGCTTTGCCAGTGCCATTCATCCTCTCCTTTCTTTGTCCTTCCACCCTGACTTCATCTAAGAGTTTTCAAGTTCACCAGTCCTCTGCCAGCTTCAGAGCTTGCCCCATGCTTCCACCCTCACCTCACCCCCTGCTGCATGCCAGCCTTAAGACCTAAAATTAAATTTTGCCTCTGCAGAAAAATTGTCACCAACACCCTGGTCTTCTCCTTCCATGCCTTTCAGTCACATCAAAATAAATAAAGTTACCCAAAACAGAAACTGGTATTTCTCATTGCCACATTCTTTGTCCTTGCTAGTCCCTCTACTAGAACTCTCTTTGTGCTTTGTCTGCTCAGATAGTTCCTATTTGTACTTTAAGAATCAAGGCAGGATCACCACCTCTTGAAAATTTTCCACTCTCATTTTCCTTCCCAATCTGTTACATATCTCTCCTCCATGCTTTCTTATTACCCTCCACTATAGTGCTTTTCAAACTCTATTGCAAGAATTTGTTTTCTTGTCGCTCTCTTTAACTGGGTGTAGAACTGGGGTTTATGTGGATCTTCTCTGCATTTCCAGAGCCTAGCAGAGTATCTACCTCTTTTTCAGTGCTTTTTTTTTTTCTTTTCTGATGAATAAATGGCTGTACAAGGCTCTTGCCCCTGCTAAACACTGATATGAGGATGTGTGATCACTGGCACTTTACAGGGAGAGCTCTGCCCTTGGAAAAAGGAGTTACATTAATCAAGCAGAACAAATCATATTGGATGCTGTGGCCAATGCAATTAAGCCTTTGTCAAACTGCCTGACTTTGGCTCAAGATGAGAACACTGATGAAATGCCTCTCAGCTGCCTGGGTTGGGGTCTGCTGAAATGGGCAATTACTGCAGTGAACAATCCATTACTTGTACTGTCAACAGTGTGTTTTTTCTCTCTAAATGCAGAATGAAGTGGAAAATGCTATGGGAACTCAATGGCATTTAATTTACTGATATGATGTGGTAGGAGCCATTCTTTAACTTGACTGTGACAGCAAGAGTGTGGGGACAAGCATGAGGTTGGAATGCATTGGGAAAGCTGTTTTAAACATCCTGTGCCTTGCTCCTCCCATATGTAAAATTAGACTGATGGAAGAGAATGCTTGTCACACCATGGTGGTTACTATGGTGATCAATGACTGAGATGCAATGTTGTACTGCCCCTAGCCATGCCAATTTCTTTCACTTCTGCTTGTTATTCCATAGAGGGAGAAATGACTGGCAGGTCTCATTTTCTTCTTTGAGCTGGTAAAGTTGTTAGCAGGGCATAGCTTAGAAAGGCCATCATATTGGCATTTTGTGCAGATAACCCAGGGCTACTATGCTGGGATATTCACTCTCAGTGAGGACCTGGGCTGCCCAAACTCTCCATACCATGGTGCACATAGAAACGTGTGTGTGGCACACTGGGGTGAATGGATGAGATGTTTATAGCCAGAAGGGACCCAACCTGGGACTTTAGCTGCCCCAGGTCCTGCATGGGTGTTCCAAGGGTCAATGAGGTCAGGATCTTGGGTACTTCTGACCCAGTCATGGAAAACCAGTCAGGAAGCCCTGCTGTGGGTTCACTCAATCACTTGGCCATATAGTGGCTGTATGTCTAGCTAGAGGCTTACCAATAAACACCATCAGATGAACTTAAGCCATGTTACAAGCATGGCTCATTGGGAGGTAATTGTTGGGGGCAAGATGGCTGGCACCAGATAATATTATTGCAGAACTCTTGTAGTATAAAGACAACTAGTTCTTCCCTGTGGGCCAGAGATGCAAAAACAGAACTCATTCTTGGCAAATGTAAGCAAAACAGACATCTATGAAAGCCCATTAGGCACTTACAGAGTCTTTGGGATGGCACAGTCTTGGAGACTCTATAACCAAGACAGTGCCAAGCCCACCCATGGAGCCTCTTTGGTGCAGATCCCACTGCTGCAGGGAATGGACACTATCCAGAATGAAGCTGGACAGTGGACACCAGATATGTACCTTGTACATACTGATGACTGGGCACTGGAGACCAGAAGTCCACCCTGCACCCACTGATGACTGGCACCAGACACCAGATGTCCACCCTGCTGCCCCTGAAAAGCTGGATGTTTTCACCACTACCTTCTCTCAAAAGGGATCCACACGGCCCCTCATGCAGGCATGTCTGTTCCCAGCATCTAGGTCATGTGTTTGCACTTATCTATAAGGTGAGCTGGACCAGCAGGATCAGCCTTCTACCATGGTGAGGCGGGATTGACACACAGGATGCGAGCCCCAGGGAAGGACAGGGATCCAAATCAGTGCATGGGCCACAGGATGACTAGCACCCATTGCACTTTGCAAAGCCATATATCATTGTCTTCCACCATAAACCCGTCCCTTCTTGTTTCTTCTAGGCTGGGGATGCCATTATCCTTCTCCCAGTCACTGGTCCAGAAACCTGGCAACTGGACATGGTTCCTTGCTCTCCCCGAGCATTAGCCCATTTCCAAGTCATTACCATTCTTCCTCCTAAATCTTGTTATTTGTCTCAATTCTGCAGCCCCACTTATTGGGTCTGGGCACTTTGTGACCTCTCCCCTGGGGAGAGCAGTACCTCTCTAGGGGCTCCCAGGTTCAGGCTGCCCCAGCAACTCATCCTCCCTACTGTGCCTGGTGATAAATTTGGTAAAGTGCTGTCCCTCTTGTGTAAAATCCCTTGGTGGTTCCCCATTGCTTTCATGAGAGAATTCAACCCCCTAGATCCTTCGGTAATAATTTATTTTTACTTTTTGCACTCTCGTGCACTGAGTACTCCAGTGATACTCATTGTATCCAGCTACACGTACTGAATACACACTAGATACGCTATACTAGTGTTGAGTGTTACTTTGCTGCTTAGTCTGGGATCAACCTCCTCTGAGGAGCCTTTCCCAGTCCCCCACAGGCCAAATGCCCACATTGGACCTCCTCCACCAGCACCCAACGCCTTCCTGCCTGGCAGCATGCCTCCCGCCAGTGTGTGGGAGCTGAGAGCAGGAAATGGGGTCCCACACTGGACCTCCTCCACCAGCACCCAACGCCTTCCTGCCTGGCAGCATGCCTCCCGCCAGTGTGTGGGAGCTGAGAGCAGGAAATGGGGTCCTGTTTTATCAGTGGGCATGCTGACTGAAGTGGTCCTCTAAAACACTCAGGGTGGTTCATGTCACACTCAGGGACACCTGAATGGTCTCAGCAGTCCTTGCTGCTGCATGCAAACCCGACCGGCACCAGCATGGGAATGTGCAGGCCAATTTCCCCAACAAGTGAACAGGTGGGCAGCCCTCTCCCACCCTTTTGTCCCATTAGCCGCAACTTGGGAGAAAATATGGCCCCTGCTGTGCTAAGTATTATCTCGACTTTTCACACTTGAGAAGGTGCCTTCTGGAGCACTTCTAATGGACCATCTCCTGGCTGGCTAGATTCTAAAAAATCGTGTATTTTATTGCTCCAGAGAATTGACATTTTTTGTCCTTTAAGTCTTACTTTGAGGAGAAGATAGATGATTTCTGAGAGAGTAAGGTTGAGGTTGGAGCTGGAATTCTAACATTTAGAAACTGAGAGTCACACCCCACTGTCCTGGGTAGCTACACAGCACAGTGACTTTGTTGTTGGTGCCACGGTTTGGGAAGGCAACTGGTGTGGGCTCCCAGGGGCACTACGAGCCACGCTTCAGCAGTTCCTAATGGCTCAGGCCTAAGCTTCCAAGCCAGATATGTTGACCTTCTTTATGCCTGTAAGATCCACCCTGTAATTTCTCTTCATCTCACACTGTCCTGGGATCAACTGGCTTTTCCTTAAACTATGTCAGCCTGGCTATTGATAAAGCTGGCATAAAGGTGAAGGGTCAATGACCATCATTGCTTCTAGCTTCAAAGCGCTCCAGAGAAGGAGCACTCTGGCTCCATCCGGGGAGAAGCTGCCTAGCTGGGAAGGCCCCGAGGGCCCAGCACGTGGAAGGCCTGTGGGGCTGGCCCAGACCCCGGTGCAAGTGTTAATCCTATGAGTCCATGCAGTCCTCTTGCTACAGTGAAGTGTATCAATATTTGTAAATTCTCTAATCCATTTCAGTTGCCAGGACAGGGTAATATAAGTCAATACATTTCTTGGAGATTAGCAGAAGCTTATGATCATAATAAGCAAACACAACTTGCCCCATCTTGGACTGCTTGAAGCCTGGGTTGTAATGTTTCTCACAAGAACCCCTTGTCAAATTGTCCTACTGAGTGAGTCCTCAGGGGTGGCACATACCTGTGGGGACAGTGCCCCGGGCTTGGCTGGTGGCTGGCTGGGCTGTGTGCCGCAGGCAACTGCTCATCGGGGGAGAAGCTGCCTGGTGCTGGGCCTGGGGGATGGTGAGGGGAAGGGCCGGCCTTGTGGCAGTGGCTGGGCTGCTCAGACTTCCACCACCTGGGTGGATGGTTGTGGCCATCCCTTTGGCCAGCGGAGACCCTCCAACGACATTATTCCGGGGTGGCCCAGCCCCTCCTATAGGAGCCCTGAGGAAATAAAACAGAATCAGTCAGGTGAGGTCACAGATGAAACCACACAGTACAGGCCATTAATAAAGGCCCACTCTTACCTCCCAACTCTGAGAGATGAAGGCCACACAGTCCAGGGCACAAATACTAAAAGAATGCCAAGATAATCCTGTAGGCAAATGATGACCTGAGCTCAAGCTTGGCAGTGGAGCACCCTTTATAAAACCTTCATGGGGGCTAACTTTCAATGTAAATAGTTAAGAAACAACAGAAGAACCCTAAGAATCAATATCAATCAAATATTTTGTACCAGAGCTACTGCCCTGATTCGGTCTAATATGCAGCTGTGTCCGTCCCCACACACATCCAGAAAGAGTGGATGACTCAGCCACATCCCACGAGGCTTGGACATATCTGGCACATGGTGGGAAGCCATGGCAAGGACCCATGCCCCTCGGGACACAGCCGCCTTCTCGTTTCTGCCGGCTTCTGGGAAAGGGCCTCTGGGAAACGGTCCTTCTGAGGGATGTCAGGGAACTTGCAGTGTCATACCAGAAATAGACGTCCTTTCACCCCAAGTTTCCAGATGAAAACAGTTTCCAGTGTTTAAGAAATATGAGAACACAGCAACTCTGAAAATGGGCTGTAGCCCTTTGACCCCCGTGTACTTGCACCAAACTCATGCACTGGTGGTGAGTGTACACGATACGGCAGAATCTGGGGGCTCGGAAGTTTCTGTGGGTTCAGTTTCAGGGATCAAATATCTGCCATTTGTCCAAGAGCTGGGTCAAGTCCCCTTCTGTCCCCTCAGAATCTTGGTCATGAGACACCAGAAGCCACGTGAGGGTGAGAGCAGGCACTGCCAGGTCCATCGCCAGGTCAGGGAGCTCCCACCCCATGTGGCTCGGTACCGCGGACCAGGACTTTAGCCAGGGATGGGCTGTGCCCCACTAAGTCAGGGTTTCTGAAGAACCGCCGTGGGAAGAGGGCCTCCTGGAAAAGGACTCAGCTGTCCAGGGACCATAGGCAGAGCCCCTAGAGCTGCCCTGAAATTCACCTCTAGCAAGGAGGAACTCTGTCAGTGGGCCAGAATATTCAAAACCATGAATATTTTAAAAGATTTATTTATTTGAGAGAGAGAGAACGAGTGGAAGGGGCAGAGGGAGAGGAAGAGAGAATCTCAAACAGACTCTGCACCAAGTGTGGAACCTGACATGGGGCTCGAACTCACGACCCTGAGATCATGACCTGAGCCGAAACCAAGAGTTGGACGCTCAAATGACTGCACCACCCAGGTGCCCATGAATTTTTTTTAAAAAATCACATCTGCTACCTATTGAACTCACTTTTACCCTAAGAAAAAATTTTTAAAACTTGAATAAAGTGGGCTCACAAATTATGGGCCTTTCCAGGAAGGGCCCGATGACATACAAGCAAGCCCATATCATGGCCAGCACCACTCCTCTGGGTGCTTTGAAAAGTATGAATCAGTGTAGCCAACAGTGCAAGGTCTAGGCATTATTTAATTGTTTTCCTGTCAGTCTTGTCCCAGGGAGAGCAGAAACCCAGGGGCCATGTCTTCAGTTGATGTGCTTGTGCTTCAGGTAACCCAGAGCTGTGCCCATGACAGGTTTCCACGGGTGAGACTGACAAATAAAATCAACAGTGGACCCCTCATCTTAGTGGGAAATTCTCAGATAACTCCAGACAACTTCTTGAGCAAATTTTTTAGATTGTATTTTCTGTTTTATAAAAATGATACAACAGGAAATTTGCAAAAAATAGGAAAGCACAAGGAAGAAGAAAATTTTTAATTACTCCTAATGCCGTCACTCAGGAACAATTGTTAGCTTTTGAGAATGTATGTTTTTCCTTTGCATGTATGCATACGTGTGTTTTATGCATAGCAGGTTTATGTGTGTCACACACACACACCAGCTGTACTCAATTGGACGCACCGGCATGGGTACATGTGCACACACACATCTCACTTCGTGATCTTCCACCCCCACTTGGTGCTGTTGCCCTGACTCCAGCTCATTCTCCTCCCATCTTGTCCCCTCACAGCCAGAGTCTGCTGAGGGAATGACAAGCAAAACCTAATTCAGAAGGGGAAAAGCTTGCCATGTGGAACCCTCGCCCAAGGGGAGCTCTGAGCTCACGCGGCAAAAGCCTGTGGGCAGGGGAACCCTTGTGACTTCTGGACTGTGTGTTTTTGGCTTTGCTCAGACCACAGCATGATCTCCAGGCAGTAACCAGCAACAGGGGAACATGGGGAATGTGCTCCTCCTCTCCTGGGCAGTGACACCAGCCTCACCTGGAGACGGGTGTCACGTAGTTTCCTGGGAACACCCCAGACAGCCCAGTCCTCAGGGACGTCCCCTTGAACCAGCCATCCTGACACTTCTCTAGGACCCGGTACATCTCGCCTTTCCGCAGCTCCAGTTCATCGTTCTTCTGGGGCTTGTAAGCATAGAGCGCCAGGTACCTATGGGAAGAAGAGGAGGGCCAAGGATAAATGATGGCTGGCAGAGGTGGGCATATGCCATCTGGCATCACCTATATCACAGGTGGGCTCATCTTTGGATGAGCTGAGCCGAAACCAAGAGTCGGACACTCAAATGACTGCACCACCCAGGTGCCCCATGAATTTTTTTTAAAAAATCACATCTGCTGATGTGGAGTAGCTGATGCCTACAGGGCTTGTGCATACCGTGCCTGACCTATTTTCATGATACATCACTGCGGTGGTGCAGGGAAGAGAGAGAACCCAGCACTGTGATCGCCCACCTAGAGAACCAGGTCCTGAGAGGTATATGTGGGGTGGGGTGGGGGAGGGGAGACAGACCTCTACCTTTTGCTCCTGGAGTCCAGGTCATTCCACAGCCCTGCGCTGGCTGACCCGGGCAAGCAGGCACCCACCCGTCCGACAGCTCAGAGAGCCTATGTGACTCATCCAAGGTCCTGGAGGATGGGCCAGAACTAGATCACAGGTCTTTGGGCCCCACCATCTAAAGCCTGATGCTCTGAGCCAGAGAAAACTCTAGGGAAAACCAAAAATGAACCAGGCATGTTTTGGGCTGGATTTTCCTCGTTTCATCTAACTAGGCCTTGGCTTACCTGCCTGTTTCATTGAATCAGTCTGAGCTGGAGGATACCCCAAAGGCCCTTTTAAAGAAAAGACAGTCTAGTTAGGGAATTCTCAGTTGCATCTTTCCTTGCAATATTTGTGCCATGACTAATAATTTAAATTCTACTTTTCTCTTAAGCCTATTTGAAGACAAACCAAGAACAAACTCAGTGGTGTAAATCCTGGCTTAGGGCTTAGAAGTTCTGCCTGTAACTTAGCCTATGACCCTGGGGCATGCCTCTCTTGTCACATACCTCATGATACCTCAATCTCCAACCCCACAGGGCACTTGCAAGGACTAGATAATACTTGCAAAGTGCTTTGCTACTTTGGGGGCTTGGGGAAATGGGTTTTAAATTGATAGAGAGAATGGTAATAGGCAACCATGTTGCTCACAAGATCCAGGAGGAAAGTTGGTGAGGCCTCAGGTCAGTGAGAAACAAAAGATGAATTTTAAAGAAGTGTCATCTCTAGGATCTCCTACCAGGATGGACAGCCTGGTGGGCATGTTCACCCCTCCCAGGGCCATGGGTGCTAGGGGCTGGAGGACAGTCCCAGGTCTCTGGATATCTCAGGAGGCTCACAGACCCCCAGAGCACCTCCTGACTCTAGGAGAGGTCTTCTCAGGAGGTGAATACAGAAATGGGAATGACTCACTAGGGTTTAAGCAAGAAGAAAGGAGGGCCCTTGAGTCTCAGAGGCCTGATGAGGAACAGGCTACAACAGAATGGGAACCTGTAAAGATGTCATGTCCCTAACATAAAATAAAATAAGGTAAAACAACATACACCTGCCCCCACCCACACCCCTGGCCCTACACACTGCAAGTGCCTCTGCTTCATTCAATGGAGGCCTTGCCTGGTTAATTTCCTTTGTTTACAAAGGATGAAAGGATGGCCTGCACCTTGATTTCTCTCTCTGTCTGAAAAGATAAATACCAACAGACAGGAAGGACTCGGGGCTTCAGGGAGGATAAGGGAAGCCATCACTGGAGAGGACCCCCTTGATTCATGTTTTTGACGCAAGGCCCAGGTGACAAAAAGAACCCGGGGTGTCATCTGTCTGTTCTCACATCTGATGACTTGCAGGAGCTCTCTGATGGTGACAGAGGAATGACCACAAACAGGAAAGTCACGTGACAATTGCGTTTGCGCCCCCGACGCCGGCTTGCCCTTTAACCACTCAGGGGCGGCCTCACATGGGGAGGCATGGCGCGGGCTCAGGCAGGGGCAGGATGAACCCAAGAGGAAAGGAGAGGAGATGGCTGGGGCAGTGGGAGGCTTGTGAACAACAGTGACACATGCCTTTTGTGCCTGCTCTCAAGGAAATGTAATTGAAGCATAAATCCTGTTTGCCTGCCTCCTTCCGTGTCTTCATGGTGTGAGAACAATCTTTTTGATTCTGTGAATGCACAGTGGCCAGGAGCACAGCGCCAAGCTGGGGGTGACGGCGCCTTGGGGTGTGCATGTGCACAACACAGCCCTCAGCAAACAATGATGTTTCATTGGTCAGGGAGGGAGGAACCACATGCTGCTTTTGTTCTCTTTGCCCAGAGGGGCGACAGGCACTGGGCTCTCATACCTGGCTTGGCCAACAAGGCGTGGGCACCGACATCCACTGCCCCCAGTCCCGGGGCCTGTGCCGAGCCTGGAAGCCCCTGTAGAGCAGTGATGCCACCACACGAGGCCCACCACTAGCCTGTGCCCTGCCAGCTGCCTCGTCAGCCCCCAGGCCCAGGAGGAGACCATGTCCCGCGCACCTCAGGCACGTCCTCCTCCTCCCTCTGGGCCCCTGGCTGTCCGAGGACTGGGCCAGTGGGCTATCACCTGTGTCCTGAAGAGGTGCTCCACAGTTTCCCGCCTGCCTGGGCTCTGCCGGAACAAACACCGCTTTTCCAAAGGCTGCTTTCACGTGTGCAGGTTCAAGACTGGCCGACCTCCTCAAAGAGGGCACCGTGTTAAAGAGTTTAAATGCCCTGCTCTTCCACTCTCATCTCCCCAGTCGTGAGGGATGTGAGGAATCCTGAGCAGATGAGTCCTCCCATGACAGATCATCCTGTCCTCAGCTAGGATCTTGGCGCAAGGCAGCCACCTGCCACCACGTAGCACGTCTACCTCCTCAGGAGGGCGAGAGCCAGTGCAGAGGGAGCTCAGTCCAGCCTGGAGGAAGGGGACTATGTGTATGCGGCTCCAGCTGGGGTTCCCAGCAAACCTTGGCTCAGGGCAGCTCTACACCAAGGTGTCCCCTGAATATGCTAAATTTGCACCAATGTTCCCCTCTATCTGGAGCTCTCTTTGCTCATCCTGCTGCCCTCCACTCCGCACTACACTGTATCCTCCACGAAGGTAGAGATTTTTATCTATTTTGTTCTCTGCTCTATCCCTAGGATCCAGAATATGTCTGGCACTCGCAATAAATACTTGTTTTATAAAAGAATAAAATAGGGGTTCTGGTGTTGAGACTAAGATGAAGACTGCTGAAGGGAAGTGTGTCTGTGTGTGCATCTGTATGCGTGTGGGCACGTACAGCCCCAAGGTCTGCCGGCTGACCTTGAACATAAAAACAAGCACAAACAGGTACCAGCTTTCTTCATTCAGAGGCCAGTGTGGAGTTGGGACTGTGCCAGGAGGGAATGGACACCATGGGGATGCAAGAAAAGGCAGAAAGGACAGGCCTGTGGGATGCTGGTGTCTCAGCAGTGAGAAGAGTGAAAAGGAGAAGCAGAGGGTGAACGACAGGACAAGAGGGCAGAGAGAGCTGAGTCTGTCCAGGAGAGATCTGAGCTGCCCTAGAGAACCCAGACAGACAAAAGCAAGCAGGGAAGGCAGTGAGCTAGGGGAGGGAGGGAAACACCCGAGGCACAAGGTACATACGTGGGTGAGAGGTGAGTCAAAGAGGGGAGGAGAAACAGGAGTCGAAAAGCTTCTATTAACAGAGTTTCCAAACTGGCTTGTCCAGCTCCTGGAGGTCAAGGAGCCCATTAAACAGGGGCTTGTGGGTGGCCTAGAGAAGGTAGCTTTGACGAGGGACTGTCTCTTTGCCCCTCCACCTATCTTTGCAGCCCCTGGGACCAGGGTGACTTCTGTGTGCCACCTGCACTGTCCACATGCTCAGTGGAGTTTGAAGCCATGGCCAGGGGACACCTGCCCAATCATGAGCTGGCCCTGCCAGCGAGAGGATAGATTCCAAGCAAGCGTGTAAGGCTCACGTTGGCTCAGCAGCCCAAGGACTGGCACCTGTACCTGCCCACACCAGGCTCAGTGAGTGATGTGCATTAGCACCCAACTTCCACAGTGAGGGAAGCACAGTGCAGATTTAAAAAACAAAGCAAGTGTTAGCAAGGGCAATAAATACCCCATGAACCATTTGAACTGTCTGACAGTCATGTTCGAGATCCTGGGGGGTAGCCATCAAATAATTGAAAGTTAATTGTCTTATACAAGGTGGAAGAAGCAAGATGTCAGAGAAGTAAGAGACCTGGATTTCGTCTGGTCCCAGGAATTCAGCTGGATAGGGATCAAACCATCCTGAACACCTACAAACTCAACAGGAGATCAAAGAAAAGAATAGCAGCAACTCTCTGAACAGAAACGCGACCACTTTCTGGAAGGTAGGACGTGCGGAGAAGTGAATCTGAGGTGATATTCGGGAAGATAGACGGCGGGGGAGGGGGCCTCCTTCGGCCACTTCTGGCAAGTGATAGAGCCCCGGAGCACAAAATCGGAACTTTTAGAAGTCTGCTCCACTGAGGGACGTTGCTCCAGTGTCTAAGTGGGGCGTGGAACCCTCGTGGGACAGTGTGGTCTCAGGACCCTCGGGGTCACAGAAAGACTGGGGGTGCCTGAGTGTGGCAGAGCTCCCAGGTATCAGAGCAGGGGAGCCGGCTGCAGAGACCCAACAAGCAGCAGATCCGGGGAGACTCCCCGTCCTCCCTGGGGAGGAGCAGCGTGGGAGCACACGGCAGGGATCTGCTGGGTTTGGAGACTCCACATGGGGTCGTGCGCCAGAGATAGAAACGCTCGGTCACAGGTCGGGTGAGCACCCGGAGTGCAGCCGGAGACTGGGGAGATGGGAGTGATGGACTGCTTTTCTCTGGGGGCTCACTGAGGAGCGGGGCCCCGAGTTCTCGGCTCCTCCAGGGCGGAGATTGGGAGGCCACCATTTTCACTCTCTGCCTCCAAAGCTGGACGGAAAGCTTGCAGGGAACAAAAGCTCCTGAAAGCAAACCCGAGCAGATTACTTAGCCCGGACCGGGCAAGGGTGGGGCAATTCTGCCTCCGGCAAAGACATTTGGGAACCACGGCAACAGGCCCCTCCCCCAGAAGATCAGCAAGAACAGCCAGCCAAGACCAAGTTTA